TTAAATTCACCTGAAAAAAGAGAAGGACTAAAAAGAGACACTGGGGGCTGGAGAGATGGCTCAGTGGTTAAGAGCACTGGAGGACCTGGGTTCTGTTCCCAGCACCCACATGGCAGCTAACAACCATTCATAACTCCAGTTCCAGGGAATTGGATGCCCTCTTCTGACCTCTGAGAGCATTGCATGATATAGGTGCACTTACATACATTCAGGTAAAACAATCATGCACATAAAATAAAAATAATAAATAAAATATTGTTTTAAAAATGAGAGAAGCTGGACATGGTAGCTTACACCTGTAATCCTAGTGCTTGGAAAACTGAGGCAGGATGATCACCATGGGTACGAAGCCAGCCTGGGCTATAGCTCCAGACCAATTTAGTCTACAAAGTGAGTTCCATGCCAGCCTGGGCTACAGAGTGAAACCTTATCTCAAAAAATGAGAGACAGGGCTGATGAGTTGGCAGTAGGTAAAACACTAGTTGTACAAGCCTGATGACCTGAGTTCAATCCCCAGAACTCACATAAAGGTGGAAAGATAGAACTGACTCCATGAAGTTGTCTTCTGACCTCCACACACACTCATGGCACACCCTCTTGGTCATATACACCCAATAATAATTTTTTAAAAATTAAAGGAAGATTTACAGGAGACATACACAAATGAAAATGCTGAAAATATTGACAGTGGAAATTATGTAACATTACAGTACTAAGAATGCTAACTAAAGAAAACATTGCATTCAATTAATAAAGCAATAAAAGATAACTGGATCAGTCGGTATTATTAAAAATGTACAATAGTGGTTAAGTGCACTGGCTGTTCTTGCAGAAGACCCAGGATTGAATCCCAGTACCCACATGGAGGTTAAACCATCTATAACTCCAGTCCCAGGGGATCTGATGTCCTCTTCTGTCCTCCGAGGGCACTGCAGGATATGGGTACACTTACACACACATAGGCATAACACTCATACACATAAAATAAAAATAAATAATAAATTTTTAAAAAGTATAAAATAATAGGCAGATATAGTAGTTTTGAATTTTTATGAACCAAACAAATTAAGTTCAAAACATATGAAGAAGGGGCTGGAAACATGGCTCAGTGGTTAAGAGAGGCAAGAACTCTTCCAGAGGACCTGAGTTCAGTTCCCAGTTGGGGTAGCTCACAACTGCTCGTAACTCCAGCTCCTGGGGGATCTGAAGTCCTCTTCTATCTTTTGTGGGCACCCGTACACATGTAGCATACACTCACACAGACACAAATCCATAAATAAATATATATATGTATATATGTATATTCATGTCTGAAATAAAAAATTGTATAGATCAAGAAAAATTAAATCTGATTTAACATGAGATTGTCAAAAATTTGAATAATACAATGAACATTTGATTAAAAGAAATAGTTATTTTAAATAAGTATGCTAGCTAGATGTGGTAGTGTATGACTGCAGTCCCAGCATTTGAGAGACGAAGCAGAAGATTGCTGCAAGTTTATTCCAAGCCTGGGCTATGTAGTGAGTTCCAGGCCAGGATGGGTCACAAGAGTGAGACCCTGTCTTAAAAATACCTAATAATAGCTCATGCCTCTAGTCCCCGCACTTGGGAGGCAGAGGCAGGTGGATTTCTGTGAGGTCAAGGCCAGCCTGGTCTACATAGTGAGTTCCAGGCCAGGTGGGGTCTAGAGAGACCCTGTCTCAAAAAGACCAAAAAAAACCCAATAATAATAAGCAGCACTAAGCAGGCATAGTGGGGCGTACCTGAAATCATAGTATTCCAGAGGTAGAGGCAGAATTAGGATAATTAGGAATTCAAGACTTAGTGGGTAAAGGTTCATGCTGCCATTGTGACAAACTGAATGGAATGAACTGACTCCTGCAAGTTGTTCTCTGACCTTCACTCACATATGGTGGCACACACACACACATAAAATAATTTAAATACAATTTAAAAAATAAAACCAAGCCAGGCGTGGTGACACAGGCCTTTAGTCCCAGCACTCAAGAGGCAGAGGCAGGCAGATCTCTGAGTCCAAGGCTAGTCAGGTCTATATAGTGAGTTGCAGGTCAAAATAAATAAATAGATAGATAAATGATAGATGATAGATAATAAAACCAAAATCCAGGGCTCTGCTGGCAAAGCATTTAGCAAGCACAACACATAGCATGAGCAAAGTCTAGAATTTGATCACTTGCACTACCGAAAACCAAAACTTTTCTCTGGAATGTGTCTGTAGCTCAGTACTTGAGAACACTTACCTAGCATACACGAATTCCAGAAGCCCTAGGTTCAACCACCAGTGTATGTGTGTGGGGTGTCATTTGCCTCAATAAAGGCAAGTAAATAGAA